TAGTCAGGAGCCCTGGTGGCACAGTGAGCTAAGTATTGGGCTGTTAACCTACTTAGCAGTTCTAACCCACCAGCCTCTCTGCAGGAGAAAGACGAGGCAGCTGGCTTCTGTCCAGATTTACAGCCTCACAAACCTTATGGAGAAGTTCAACTCTGTCCTATCCTGTATCTAAGAGTTGGAATCAACATGATGGCAGTGAGTTTGTTTGTTTGTGGGTTTTTTTTATTTTGGATTTAGGGTGGTTGTCATTTGGTGCTGTTTACCAAATATTTCTGGCTTCCTTCCTTCTTAGCTTGTTACAGGATTATACTTTCCTGCATATTTAGAGTTAAATGTAGTCATACCACTTGCTTTAGCCAATGAAATAGGACATGTGTCTCTTCTGGGGAAGCTTTAATAGAACCACTGCATGGTTTGGCATGCTGTCATTTGCCATCTGCCACAGTGGCCAATGATGTTCTAAGATTGAGGCAGCTCCACTGGTCTTTGGAGTGGGAAATGTCACATAGCAGAGTCCACAGTGACCCATTTTGGAGATATAGTAGGAGTAGGAAATAAACCAGTATGGCCTTGAGTCACTGAGATTTGGGGGGTTTAATGATATTATAGCCTGACTTAGCTTTTTCTGACAGATTTTGTAGTGAAGATAACTCTAGACAGAGTATGACATGTGTTGGACTTGACATTTCAGATCATTGTCATGTCAGAATGAATGATTTTGTGTCCAAGGACAGTAGTGTTCTCAAGGGTTGGTACCATATAGAGGACACAGATTTTATACTGCAGATGAAGAGCAGGGGCAAGGTGGTTGAGAATTTGACCAGAGTGTAGAGGCAGCTGTAGAGTAGAGAAAAGATTTGTTAGGAATAGTTGTAGTAGTTTAATAGGGCTGTGGTTGTGGACGTACAAAAGAAGTAAGGAAGAAGGGACAACCCGAGTTCAAATTGATGCTACTTGACGATCAGTTGGAGGTGGGAGGTATGGGAGAGGGGGGAATTGAAGATGATGCTGAAATAATCAGGGGGAGCTTGTGAGCCTTAGTTTTGCTTTGGGCTTTATGTTTGTCTTAACAGTTTTTAAGGATGATTAGAAATCAAGGATGATTGTTTTCTCCAGGGCTGGGAACACAGATATTTTTGGTTGCTAAAGCCAAAATATTTTTGGTTGTTCCCCCTTTTCATTCTGAGTCTCAGTGGAAAGGGAGTGAATCTAGTGGAACAAATTTTTACTTTTGTTTTCTCCTCTGAAGTGTTGTGAAGGCTGGGGACTGCACATCAAAGGCAGGGTTCTTGGCAGAGAGGAGGAATTGTCAACATTCACCTGCTCCATGCATTTTTGGACATTGAAAAGATAAGAGAGGAGGGTGAATCATCAAACTATTGGGATTTGGTGACTTTTCACATAACTTTTCAAAGTCATGTACTTAACACAATTTAGACACATTACTGAGAAAACCAAGAATTTATATTAAAAGTATCTGTAAGTAGAACCAGGCTAATAAATAATGGATAATTCATGAAATGCCATCACCCAGCAAAGAGCTCTTAAGTTATCTCTTAGAAGGTTAGAAGCATCTTCAGATGTTTAAAACTTTATTGAAACATGTTGTGTGAAAGATGTCAAACATTGGTTCTCTAACCTTCTTAGTCCCAATCCCTAGGTATAATTTTCTATTGTCTTACTATCCTGCAAAGGAGCTTTTGGGAGCATAGTGGGTTATCTGTTGAGTTGCTAACCACAAAGTCAGCAGTTCAAATCTACCAGCTGTTCTGAGGAGAAAGATGAGGAATTTTGCTCATGCAAAGATTTACAGGTTGGGAAAGATTTACAGGGTAGCTATGAATCACAACCAACTTGACCTAACAACTATCCTTCAAGTTATAGTTGTTCAATTTTTTTCTCTCTTGGATGCCTTTGGACTCCACGTCTACTTTTTAAATAAGATCGAATGAATTTCTGTTAACCTTCCATCCCAAGAAACATACCCTGATGAAAATAGATAATCTCAGTAGGGAAGGAATAAGAACCGACACACTTAGATCTGTACCACTGTTTATAGTAAGATTCAAGCGAGATCTGTAGACAGCAGCATCGCCTGGAACTTGTAAGAAATGATTCTTGGGCTTCAGGACCTACATAAAGAATCAGAAACAGGTTGGGGCCACAAAATCTATCAAAAGATGACTCTGAAGCATGCTAAAATTTGAGGACTAGGGAAACTTCATAGAAATAACCCATCTTTACTGGTGTTGTGAGATTTGGGAGATGACCTGCTATCTAAGAAGAGAGAAATCATGAGATGTGGGTATTGTGACCAGCAGCAAATCACTTACCTCGGATACCATAGTTTCTTCACCTTTGAAATTGGGCAGTTAGACTTGTCATCAGTTCAAATTTGTTGTTGATACTGTTAAGTGCAGTTGCGTCAGTTCTGATTCACAGCGACCCTGTATAGGGTTTCTGAGGAGCGCCTGGTGAGTTTGAGCTGCCGACCTTGTGATTCAAATCGACCTTGCAGTCCAGTGCATTATCTCGCAGCTCCACACCAGGACTCAAGTTCAAATTTAAGGGTCCAGAAAGTAGTTGAAGCAGTCATGGTGTGGTGCTGTGGGTTAATGTGCTGGTCTGCAAGGTCAGTTTGAATCTCAAGGTCAGTGGTTCAAATACACCAGCTGCTCCTCAGAAAACCTATATAGGGTAGCCATGGGTAGGAACAGACTCGATGGCACTTAACAATGACAACAACAAAGTAGTTGAAGAGGTTTATTGACTATGTTTAGTATTTCAGAATGCTACCTAGAAATTATAAGGATTCTATTTCAGTATGATCCATAAATTGACCAAATATCCTGTTTATTAGTTTGGGACCAAACTAATAAACAAATCTCACAGGCATTCATTTTCAATGATCCGTGCTTATTATAGGAGTCCTGGTGTGGTGCTGCAGACTGCAAGGTCTGTTTGAACTCAAGGTCTGCGGTTCAAGCTAAGCAGTTGTTCCTTGGAAACCCTATACAAGGTTGCTATGAGTAGGAACTGACTTGACGGCACTTAACAACCACAATTTAACAGTCATAGGGTTTGGTCTCTCAAGTAGTGCTTTATGAACTAAATTCTATAAAATCAGAATGAAAATACAGTGCACTGCTTATTAACTAGAATCTCCAATGGGTCCAAAGGAAGACAATAGAGCTCACGTTTTTAAGCAGATATCTCATTTGATGCAGTCTTTGATTCCCACAAATAAAGGATATTCAGCATAGAGACCAGGTGGCCACAACCCTGTACTTGGCTTGTTAGTGCTTCTGTGGATGACAGCCTTCCTCAGAAATCTGTGTGGTTTCAATTATTTATGATTTTCTGCTCAGACTGGATGTGGTTCCTTTGGTCCATTGACAGACCCCGCTGTGTCTGTGTGTGTGGTATGTTCAGTCTGTTTATTGGCAGTGCAAAACTCAGCAGTGTGGCAGGCGAAGTCACACTTTAACAGATGGTATAGACCAGGGAAGGTATCCCTTGGGGTACATGGGGGAACTTGAGGTCAGGCAAATGAGATGGTGCCAGGAACCTTCCAAGTGCTTCAAAATTCTCTTCCTTAGAATGATCCTTTGGTATCCTGATTCAGTGTTGAATACGTTTAAGGAGAACAGGTTGCTGACTTCCTGCTGTGATGGCCTGTTAGAGAAGGGAGAGAAAAGCAATGCTGCCTGTCATTCCAGAAGGGAAATGAATCAAGGGACCTTGGTTTCCTTTAAACCCTGTCTATTGTCTCTGCTTGTGGGATTGCTAATCCAAAGGCCACCCTTCTAAAATCTGAGCTCTAGGGCCAGACAGATGAAGGAGCAAGAGAACAGACCAAACCTTTATTAGTTCACAGAACTCCGATTCTTTATTAATCACAGCTTGCTCACAATGACATACAGGAAAATAGCACTAATGAGGATTAAATATGCAGGCAGCAACCTTCAGGAGTTGGGGAGGAAAAACGACTTCAAAACTGCGACTAGGTACTTATGGTGGGTATCTGGCGAGTCTCTTAATTGGCACAAATGCCCTGCCTAGCCCCCTTGACTGCATCAGCCCTCACAGATGGAGGTTTTCGTTTTCATTTTTCTTTAACAGGCAGGATTGCCTCACACTGGGGAAGAAAGACCAGCTTGACTGTAAGTCCGCAGTGCTTTTGAGTTTGTTTTCGCGCAGTTTCCAAGTGAAAAGATATTCAGTAGAATCATCAACTTGTACTATAGGTAAGAGTTTAAAATGAACATCATCAATCATGGCATCCACAAATAAGCCACCTGACACATTAATTCATTCCATCAAAAGAACTTAAAACTAAAGAATGAAGCCCACTTTATGAAGAACGTTTTTGCGACTGCTTAGCCCATTTGGGTTTGGATTTGTGTTCAGCACTTTTTACTTCTACCCAGATTGAGATCTGTCTTTTCATCCATCCCTTTTTAAAGCCAAAACACATTTGTAGCACATAATCTAGTAGAAGCCAAAGTAAATGCAATGATTGGTGGTTTTTCTTAGTCTGGTTTTGTAGTTTCTGTGTGGTAAATAGATTATGAGTAAACAAATGTGGAGTTTCATGTAGAATTATAATACCTGTGGGTGATCTAGGCATGGTCTTAATCAAGCTCAGAGATTACAAAGCTGTTTAGGTCATTAGGCAATGGTGGGTTTCTAGCACCATAGGCTGTCTACTGACCTCATTTTCCTGTTGTAATGAAAAGGGCAGGGAATGGAGTTAGACATGGGAGCTTTAAAAAGAACAGACCTAGCAAATTCATTTGAGTGGAAAGACACAACATCAAAAGCCTGTTACAGGACATGTAAGATTATGAAATAACTTGCATAATGCAATACTTGTATTTTTTAACAAAAATGTAAGTATTTACAAAATAAGATCCAAGGTATTTTTTAAACATCAAGCAAAACATTCTGCAAAGAGACCGCATTGATTTTTTAAAATTTTTGTTTCTTTTTTTTTTAAATTTTTTATAATGAGTTCTTTTATTAAACCGTGTCATACATTTCCCATACTGATATCGCATGATCCATTATAATATAGGCAGGGGGAATTACTAGTGGTGGGGCGTGCCATATCCTCCAGAGCCTCAGCCAGACAGTTCAACCTGGAGCTCCTTGTTCCTGCGCACCTCGGCAGCATGCCTCTCCTAGAAAACACCAACGGGAGAAAGGTCACATAGACTCCTTGACTGGCCACACAGACAACTAGGAGAGCTGGCTCATTCCTTTGTAGACCGTGCACTGCACTGCAAGTCACTGCATTTAGCTTCTACCTTTAGGAATTACTCTCATTTTACAAGAAATGAAAAAAATCCACTCATCTGTTGATGGGCATTTTGGACGATTCCATCTCTGGCTAGTGTGAACCAATGTCTCAGTGAACAGTGGTGTATGAACAAATGTTCGTGTTCCTGCTTTTAATTCTTGGGACTCGCTGTTGAGGGCATTGAACTCACTGTTAAAGGTGATGGAAAAATTTGGAAATGAGTAGCGGTGATGGATGCATAATGTGTTGAATGTAATTAATGGAACTTAACTGTACAAAAATGAGTTGAAATGACAAGTTTTTGGTTATATATACGTATGTGGGCACACAGACATATATGAAAGGATTTAAAAACTTTATGGAAAAATTCCATTATCTTTAAATTTCATTTTTCCATGAACCTTTTGAAGCCCCCTTGTTTGTATGTGTGTGTATGTTACTGAGTCATAGTATAATGCTGTAGGATAACCACTGGACTGCTAACTGCAAGATTGGCAGCTCAAACCCACCAGCCGCTTCTTGGAACACCTACATAAAGTCACTATGAGTTGGAAACAACTCGATGGCACTTGACAAGAACACAGGAAGTTGGGACTCATAATGACCCTGTATAGGGTTTCCAAAGCTGTAAATCTTTGCAGGAACAGAAAGTCTCATGTTTGTCTTGGGAACAAAAAGTCTCATGTTTGTCTTGGGGACTGCCTAGAGGACGCTAACTGCTGACCTTGTGGTTTGCAGTCCAGTGCTTATGCTACAGAGTCACCTT